TTTTTTTTTTTTCTTTTTTTTTCTTTTTTTTTTTTTTTTTTTTTTTTTTTTTTTTTTTTTTTTTTTTTTTTTTTTTTTTATTTGATTCTGATTTTTTCGCGACTTTTTAGTTAATTTTTTTTGTAAATTTTATCTGTTTTTCATTAATAATTTCTCTTCTCTTCGCATATTATAGTGATTCTCATACGCTAACTAACCTTGACTCGGCGATGAGATTCGAAACTGAACTCTAGTAGAAAGGTCGACTCGGATGACCTGCTCGAGTTTTTTTGGCCTCGACTCCGGCCCAAGAAATTTTCATCGACCTGTATCACTACTGATATTAAAGATGCCTGACGAATGATGAAACTTTCGTCATTGACGAATGACGAAACCATTCATCAAGCAATTTCTGAATGACGATTTAACAAATGACGAAACCTATGACAAATGACGAAACCCACGACGAAACCCATGATGATTAATTAAGTATAAGAAATCATTCTTTTCTTTCATAATGAAATAAATTGACCTATGCAAGGTTAATATTTTTGTTTGTATTATCATATCTACCCATTTCTATGAAATACCTCTGACATTACCCGATGAAGGTGTCGATCACCCGAAGATATCCGATGGATCTTACCTGCTGACACAAAAAAATACTTTACCTTTAGCACTTAGGAAAAGATGTCATAAAAGTTTATAAAGGTAATAAATAAAGCCATATATCATCTTTTATAGTGTAATATTTTGTTTTTTATAATTAAGAACTGTTTCGTCAATGGTTTCGTCAATCGTCAATCGTCAGCAGTTTCGTCAATCGTCAACAGTTTCATCAATCGTCAACGGTTTCGTCAGGATCGTCATTTGACGAAACGTTTCGTCAATTCAAAAATAGTTTCATCAAGCATCTTTAACTGATATCAGATATGGATTTTATTCTCTGCCTTCTATAAGCTATTTAGGTAAATAATACACTTTGAATTATTTCTTTATTTCTCTCTAAGACATTTAATAACATTAGTTAATTATTTTTTAGAAAGGCACAATTTTCTGCTTTTTCGTATGTATTCTTTAATTTAATATAGAAAACATTTTGCGCTTACAAATCTTAACCAACAAATTCGTCCAGAAAAATTTTAGATAAAAAAAAAAAAAAAATTAATTAGTTCAATAAACTGTTAAATTACAACAAATAACTTTTTAAAAAACTAAAATTATTTTCCTTATAACTGGCCTGGGTCTTGAGTGCTACAGTATTGAAATCTTCACGCGCTCTATACAATTATTTTTATCGCCATCAATTTCTCGTAAGCTATCCGCTGATATACAGAGCCAAATTCTACTTTGCCAATTTCTGTATAATCTGGTCACATGGAATTCACTCAGTCGCATCCTCATATTTAAAGGTTCTAAGTTATTATTCTCTGATGCAATCATTAATATGTCGGGATCAACCGGATTACTTAATGTGGCCCGGAACTTGAAGTTGAAATCTGGTTTTAACCGATCCCTTACAGTAGTTGTATATTCTGCGAAGCCCAATTGAATTGGTCAATATTTTTAAGGAAAAAAGTTCACTCATCGTCATTATTTATTGTAGTACTTGCATTTGCCAGTTCAGCTTTTTTACTTGAGTAAACCAGTATAAATTTTGTGTTCATGAGTGAACAAGTTCGAAACAAATCAATATACCGAACAGACAATATCCAGAGAAAAAGACATCCAATCAGATGTACGGATTTGCATTTATGTAATATCGATATTGTTAACGCGAAGTATACAAACCAAAGAAAAGCGGAAATACAAGAAATGACCTGCCTAATACTAATAGCACGAAATTTTACATAAGAATCAATTATTTTTCATATCGATATACTGTAACCTCAAACCCTAACTGATCTTAATTCTGAACATATTTTTCGCGAACTAGAACCTGAGCAGAGTAAAAATTTGCAAGGAATTTTTATTAGAACATAAAATTGGCTTAACTTAATCCTTTTATTCTGATGTAGCATAGAGAAGTAAACTTGGAAACTTTCTTTTTAAAAAAAGTACGTTTTTTATTTGGAATTACTAGAAATTATCAATAAATATAAAAAAGTAATTAATTTTTATATTTTATTTTATAAATTCAACTTCTACACCTTTTTAATAATTTGAAATATTTCATATTCGGACACAGAAAAATTTGCAGCTGTATTTCTAATAGCTTTTTCGTAAGAATGAATTTGAGAATAACAATGATTATCTTGATTAAAATTATTTACCATAAAAAGATTATTACCAAAACATGGACCATAATCAGATTTACTTTTTACAGCATATTGAGGATCTTTTACACGACTTAAAATAGAATTTTGAATAGATCCATTTTTTAGTGAAAAAATAAAACTATCATTACAATACATATAACTACCAGCAGATTTATCCCATTTTATAGGATTATAACCACCAAGAATTTCATCAGAATTATTAACTTTCATTATAATAATAGTTTTTTCTTGTTTATCACATAATTTCCAAAATGAAGCAGCAGTAAAACCATCTTTACTTCCACGAACAAGTAACTTAAATTCGTATGGATTATCTATAATTGAATAAATATCAGATTTCTTATCAATCCATGATGCAATTTCTGCAGAATGTGTATCATTAATAATTGCTGAAAATGGATCCATTATTAAAGTTTGCTTTAAAATTACACGAGGTGGAAGAATTATTGATGATACTGGTCGATTTGGAATTATAAGTTTTTTCATTATATCATTCCAAAGATTTTTTTCTAAAATTTTTTGATATGGTTGGACATTATCAATTATATCTATTCCAGACATTTGAAAATAACGGATAAAAGGTAAACAATTTTTTAAAGTAGTCTTTAAGACTAGAAAATTTTCATGAGACCAATTTTCATTATTAGATGGTAAATTAGGATTCTGAGCAATTCCCCATTTAATTATATAATTCCAAATTTTAACTTCTTCCATTTGTAAATCATCACGACTAATAAGAGAAACTAAAGCATTTTCTTGAAGAGAGGTAAAATCTTCAGAATCAAAGACTTTATTCGGACGTCTTACCACAATATCATTACACCATTTTTGTAATTTTTGAAGTTTATTATTATCAAAACTTCTGTGATGAACATGAGAAAAATGAGAATAAAGCCAATCAACTTTTCTTTCAATTAAATAACTTTCAAGATGCTTTGCTAACTCATCAAGTAGAATCTCGTAAGCAACAAGCATGAGTTCAAAAATAAATGATTCGTCTTGATTTTCTAGCAAGACTACTCCTCCGTAAATATATCTTGTTAAATTAATTATTTAAATTAGTCAATATTAATGTAAATTCGTATAAGAATATATTTAAAATTTTTAATATAACTTACTTTATGATAACTTCAAATTGTTGAATAGAGACATGATGTAAGTTAATTGTCTTAATATTATTATTGTCATTACTAATGTTTGCTAACTTGTTACGAAAGTACAAAGATCTATATTTTAAAATATTTGAATGTACTTTAAATATCCTGGTGTTTGAAGATTCGATTACATTAATAATTACGTTAGAATCTTCTTTATTATCAAGAAGTTCAAGATAATTATTTGAAAGGTTTTCAAAAAATTTTACTGCCATTTTTTATGATATAATTTTAGAATCTTAATGTTTTTCGAACAATTTAAATATAAATAGTATTTTTGTATTTTGTATTGGTAATCTTATACAATATATGATATTACTAAAAAGAAAGAAAATCGATGAATGATATTCATATGTAAAACCAAATAAATTTAGTTTAGATTGACTAAAGATACGTATCTGTTATCTTAATTCAAAACGGATAAATTATTAAACATGTTTCACGACAATTATCTTTACTAATTTTAATAATTAATTTTTCATGATTTCATAAATTTAAATTTATAGGATTTCTATAGATTTATAATAACCATGGTTATATTATGCGACTTACCGGTATTAAGGAATCGAATCTCTAATAATTGATTTAATCGTTAATCGAATTTTGTTTTTGTGTAATCGTTTTAATCGTTTCTATAAACGATTACATATTTTTGAATCGATTCTAGATATATATAATCGTTTTAATTATTATGAACTTTCACTTGTTTTCAAGTTATTTATTTATTTTAAAAATAGCTCTTTTGTTCTTAAGTGTTATTTAGCCTAGCCTTTGGTTTGTACTCAGCCATCTTATTTCGCAAGTTATTGTAAATGTTTAAGATTGTTATGCTTAATTATTTCTAACGATTCTCTCTGTTACTTTCTGATTGACGGTTATATGTTTGTTAAATATAAGGCATATTGTTGCCTATAGTTTATACTCAGCCATATTATAGTGGCTAAGTTTATTTTTACTTTTTAAGGCTATTTCTTAATTTTTTTACGCGAATAAATAAATATTATTGCTTAAATTATTAAGCTTTTATTATTGTCTAATTTATTTATATAGAGCAAGTTTTTTTGTTGCTTATTTTATTGGCATGGCTATTACTACTCGAGCTAAACATCGTCAACTTGAAAAACAACAAAGTACATTATCTGAAGATGATAGATTTAGTGAAAATCAGTTTTTAGATTATATCTCAGATGATAATGATATTTTTGTTGATAATTATAATGGTGATAAAACTAATAGTAATAATGAAAAAGACTATTTGTAAAATACTAGTTATTATAGTAATATTAAAACTAATTATAAAGTTGCAAAATAAAAGAAATCATCTAAAATTTTAACTAAATCAAAATTATTATATGTTTGAAATTTTTTTTTCAATTTATTGATAGAAAAGTTCAGTAAAATAACAAATTGTAAAGTTATTCTTAGTTATTGTAATACTCTATTAACAATAGTATCTCATCTTTGTAATCAACACTAAATATCTAAAGCTTAATTAAATAAAAAGTTAGTAGAAGAAGCTTAATTAAATACAAAGTTATTAGAAGAATTATTATTATTTTTTTTAAAAAAAATAATGTTATAGTAGAAACTTTATTTTAAAATTAGAATATAAGTTTTGTATTTTTTTTTTTTCTTTTTTTTCCAACTTGAGCGATCATGCCTGAAATTTATTGAAAAAGAAGTATTTTTTTAAAAAAATACATATAAGATACAAATTATATATGTCCTAAAACTAATCTATAATAAGATCCCTTTTTATGTCAATTCTGAACTCACCTGGCTGCCAAAATGGTGCCCAAATGTGATCTGCCTGCAGAAGTCCTTTTTCTCTCCAAAGTAACTCTTCTTAAACAAGATATTATTCTCAAATTAGTGAAGGCAACTTCAAGCCCCATCATGATTCTAGGTCCCTTCTAACCTAGTTAAAACTAAGCTAAAAGTAGTTAACACCTTAGTCTCAAAATGGAAAAAAATAAAAATTGTTACTAATCTAAAAGCACTAAGCTTACTAACAAAGAAAAACTTGCTCCAAGTCGTAAAAACTTTGTTAGGCAGTAACATAA